GGGCAATAGGATCTACCTAAGACTACTAGCGCCGGCGCTGCTTTCAGGACCCGAAAAATAAGGCCCAAAACAGAGCGGAACGAGTGACTTCAGCCAGCGGTCGGTTACCGTCCATCAAGGAATGTCAGCATATTCCTCCTAATATTAACTAAAACGCACTTGAAACTATCACATCGCGCCAACGCTGGCAAACAGATCTCTCAATTCTGCGGGATGCGAAACGATGACTAATCGCATCCTCAATTGGCTGGACTTGACTTGAAAAAGGGAGAAGGGAGGGAGACGTCGCTTCATTTCGCATACAGCATTCCGCTTCCCAAAAAAAGTCTTACCATCATGACTTTGAAGTTTTTCGCCTGAAAGCATGACTCCGTAGTGCTTAGGTCTGGCGGTACCGTTATCGTTACATTGAAGGCTGCGTGTCTGTGCATATGTGTGTGTGAATTTAAGTATAAGGCCACCTCGTATATTGACTCTACTAGCTACTGCGCCCACGCCCATCTTCGGGTCATTATACTTTTGGTTGCCATGGTAACACGGTGAGTGTGTAAATAGCCCGGCAGATGAGTGTGAGGCTAGCTCACCGTAAACACAATTCCCGTACATGTCAATACGGCTCCGCAAGACACTGGTAGTTCTAGTTAGTTTGCAACGGTTAACTATCAGACATGGAAGGTGGAGAAGCCGTGCGTTGTCATCGAAACAGACATTTCGCGTCGGTGCCGAGCTGTATGGCATGAAAGCCAAAGGGCACATAGTCCGATAGCGCAATCCAAGTGTCCATCCACACGTTACAGAACGTTCCTATTCGCTTTGCTATGGCCAACAGCTGACAGTTATGATTCCGCCGTGCTCTGCTCAACGCAGGGCCAACGTGTTTACAATGGCAACGGAAGATTTCCTGTGAAAGATATGGTTCGTGGATAATAATTTGCACACGGGATAAATGCAATTCATCAATGAAGGCTAACCAGGAATAGATCGGATAAGAAGGGCAGCTTGAATAGAGATGACTGGTTACCACGATTGCATTAACGGCTTTCTTAGCCATTTTGATTCGGTTTCGGACCCAACTCCGAGTTGCAGTATATCCGGCTGATGTAGGCAAATAAACTAGGCGAGGGCATTGCAAGTTTACTTGTCTTTGTAGGTGTAAGAGAACCTTGGCCTATGCAAACAGCTATTGTGCATTGGTTTTTAATCAAAATTCAACTTGCTATAGGCTTCTTAGTTTTTAACTACGTTATGATGCAGTGAAGGGTTTCAGTTGATAAACCGTCACGAAATTCGTAGGTTTCAACCAATTCTGCTGTCATTTGAAGCATTGTTTTCACGGAAGAAACTTGAACAATGCAAAGACCACGACACTAGCGGGGCTTAATAAAGTCGTGCAATTTTGCGACCTCTTATCCAACTGCACATGGTCATTACAAATTAATAAGATAAAATAAACTGTTCAATTAAGTATTGACCTTGAAAACTGAAACTTGATAGGTACATAGTTAAGGAACCATGAGTTCTTATGACAGACTGCTATCCCGTCCTTTGCCCCCCGTACTTAAATCACGCTTGTTAGGCTTTTTATGTAACATGAATTCTCCATCTTCGATAACTACTTCCCCCCCCCTCACCATGCACCTGCGTCTAAGACTAACATCTCCTACTCTATTTATCTATCAAGTTTCAGTTTTCAAGGTCAGTAGTTAATTGGACAGTTCACTTTATCTTATTAATTTGCAATGGCCGTGTGCAGTTGAATAAGAGGTCACGAAATTGCACGGCTTTATTAAACCCCGCTAATGTCGTGGTCTTTGCCTTGTTAAAATTTATTCCGGGAAAATAATGCTTCAATTGACTGCGGAATTTATTAAAACCTACAGATTTCGTGACCATTTATCAACTGAAACCCGTCGCTGCATCATAACATATTTAACGAATAAGAAGCCTATAGCAGGTTGAATTTGCATCAAAAAGTATGTACAATAGCCGTTTTCACAGGTCAAGGTTCTTCCACACTAAAAAAGACAAGGGAACGGGCAATGCCCTTTCCTGGTTTATATTCCGCCATCAGCCCGATATACCGCAACTCGGAGTTGGGTCCAAAACCGAGTCCAAATGGCTAAGGAAGGCGTTACATGCAGCCGTGGTAACCAGTCATCTCGCTCCAATCTTTTCGTCTTATCGTAGGTAGCCTACACTGATGAGTTGTGTTTATCCCATGTGCGAATTATTATCTGACGATCTGTAAATTGCAAGAACAGCAGGATTTATTCGATCCATAAATTTCAAGAGCGCTCATCAGCTGCTACCTCTCATTGCATAACATGAATGGCGCAAGAGAAAATACCTGTGTTTTAACTTTCCTACGTTATTGATTTGCCTCTTGGACATATTGCAGTTTGTATCGATTTTTCTGTATAAAGTCAATTTTGTATTTTCTCTTACGTCATTCATGTTATGCAATGAGAGGTAGCAGCCGATGAGCGCTCCTGACATTTATGGATTCAATAAATCCTGCTATTCTTGCAATCTACAAATTTACCCCTGGGAAACCTTGCTTTAAATATCTAATGATCATATCCTTCTGACAAAATCTTCGGCTGTGATTGTAAGCAGATTTGGCACGTGGACTCTGCGTAAACTAGATTACTGCGG